TAGTTATTAAGCCCCAATTTTTCATCTTGAGTCATTGAATAAATCTTTTGGAGTTGTGTCTGTGGCTGATTATTGCTTTCCAAAAGCTACAGTCTGTGCTATTTCATCTCTTACTCTGCATTTTATTCCTGTAGATTCTTTGCGTTGTAGTCTTTGTTCTTTCCCAACTTCTTGACATGACATGATCATCTATATGCTGCTGCATGTTGAACTGGGAACCCTTTTCTCTAGTAATGCAGTGTGTTAGGATGTAGACCTGACTGTGACCATTAAAGGTGTATAAACCACTAAATATCCCCTTAAACTCAAAAACAAAATTAGCTTCATGTTAAGATTTTCCAATTTCCTCGGTTGTCAAGGTTGACGGCTGCATGCTGTTGGTTTTCATGTACCTGTCTTGACGTAAATGTCACATTATGTGTACAACAGATGTGTAGAGTGTGGGGCTTTCATGTTTATTCAGCAAACAGGTAATGAAAAGCGCTCTTTCAGTTTCCTGTAAAAGTATTTACAGTTGACCATAATGGTGTCAAACCTTCAGAAATGGATGGGGAGCCGACTGTTCAGCAGGGCTTTGAGCTACAAGGATTTCTCACTTTTTTTACCACCCTGCAGCCGTGGGAGTTTCACTTGGGCTGTTTTTGACTCTCTTTCACCCCTACGTTGCACAAGAGTGCATTCCAGAGGCCCAGTGAATAAAAATGCCATGTCAACGAGTAAGGAAGAAAGAAAATCTCCACTCTGAGCTGTCAGTGGTCTTCCTTTTTGGTTTTGCTATGAAAAGCAGGCAAAAAAAAAAAAAAAGTTCACCTTCTGCACATAAATTGGCTGAGAGATTTATTTCTCCCATGACATTCTCTCTGGAGATGCCACTGGGAGCCTGGGCCACGCTCTTGGAGAGCGTTGACAGGGCTATTGTTAGTACTAGCAGTAGTCAAAACCTATTCTCTGGCCTCATCGTCGCTGGCTGTTTTTCATTCCTTTTTACTACTTGTTCTCTTTCTTTCTCCTTATTTTACCTGTCAAATAGCAGTGACGGACATTTGAAAGGCACAGGCCAAGGTTCACATCTGTCCATTTTAACTTATTAATTTCAAACTCATTCCACTTTGTCAAATTCAAAGACCTCTGAGATAAGGCAGACAAATCAATGATGTCAGGTAAGAAATGTGCTTCGTGACAGGTGGAAAATGAGAGACTCGTTTTAAGTTGTACATTTCTTCCAGCAGGTCATTTTTTTAACAACCTTTTTCATAAAATGAGTACATACGGATGCTTTGAGGATTTAACAGATAAGCAGAATCAATTGATTTTGCACGTGGCCAACCACGATGCCAATTGGGTACCAGTGATTCTTGAGAATAGGGACAAAACAGGTCATATGGATAAAGCACCAAATTTGAATAAAATATACACACAGTNAAATGTTTAGCTTGCAGCTAACTCATGAAGTAACTCATGAACATTTATTATGCAAATATTAGCTGCAAACTAAATACTTAGTTTGAAACAATGACATTTATAAATTAATGTATCACTTGGTAAAAATTAAAGGCCCCCCCCCCTTTTTTTTTACAGGCTAAAAACCCAAATTATTGCTGTTAATTTTTGACAGTACATCTTTAGAAACGGTTCATCAGTACCGTTTCAGGCAGCGACCGACTGGACATCGTGTCAGGAAAATGGTTCCCACAATGTTCAGACACATGGCGACCCCCCCCTCCCACTGCCGCCCAGCCTTCTGGTCGGTAATGGGAATCGATCGAGTCTCGGCGTCCAATCAGACGGCGGCTGCTCTGACTGCCTGATGGCTCATTAACCTGCTGAACGAGGGGGCGGAGCCAGAGCGGTTCTGAAGGAGCGCGGCTCCACTGGACAGAACCATCAGAACCTCAGCTGTAACCAGGTTCTGCCATAGAAACCGGGTCTCAGGAACAGAACCAGAACCAGACTTTAAAGAAGAATGGAAACTGACTCAGAGTCTGCTGCCCTCTGCTGGTCCATGAGAGGAACAGCAGGGTTCTGGTCAGACCCAATGAGTCTGACCAGATACACGGTCAGAGCCAGCAGGTTCTAGTAGATCTGACAGCTGGATCAGAACCCGGAGCGGTTCTGAAGGACAGAGACGGCGAGACATTCAGAACATTTTATTAGAGATTCAAAGCAGCAGAGATCAGAACGTTCCTTCAGTAAAAACTACAGATAAAAACCAGAACCAGAACCTGGTCCCACCGGACCATCAGCCCTCCAGCTGCCACTGCTGCACCTCAGCACCATCGCAGATCGCCATGGCAACGTAGCCCTTTGGTCCAGCTGGACGGGAAACGGCAAGACACTGACCCACAGAGACCTGGTAGAGCCGGTTGGCCTTCTGGAGAGAGAGAGCCGGGTCAGAACCGGGTCAGAGCCACTACCATCACCATCATCAGAACCTCACCCCCAGGCTCCACTGCTGCGAACCCCCAGAGCCGTGGCACTTCATGAGCCGCGGGGGGTCAGAGGTCCTGACCTCCGACACGTCCAGGCACAGCAGGCCGGCCAGAATCAGCTGCCCGTCTTCGTCATACGACCAGTCCTGCTGAGGTCACAGGGTCAAGGAGTGCCCTCAGAGAGGTCATGGGGTTGGATCGCACCGAGACGCCGCCCTCACCTGCTCCGGGTCTCCGTGGTTACACGGCCTCAGGACGACGGCGCCGCCCTTCTGGCTGACCCGCCCCTGCGCCACCAGGCAGCGTCCGGTTGCTAGGTTGCGCAGCTGAAAGACAGAGAGAGGGTGAGAGCCTGCAGTGGGGTTGGAGGTCACGGCGCGTGCTGCGTTCAGGTACCCGGCCACGCTGCAGGACCTTGGGCCGCCTCAGGCCTTTGTTGACAAACGGAGGTGGCTGCTTGTTGCCGTTGGCGACAGCCTGCATCTCGGGGTAGACGGCGTCCAGGTACCAGCGGAACGAGCGGCACTGCAGCCGCTTCCTCAACGCCACGCGCTCACTGATGTCACCGTAACCACGGTTACGCAGCTCAGGACGCAGTGCCAGGTACTGCTCCTGATGGGACCATAGGAAGTGAGGTCAGAGACGGGAAGTGAGGACAGACAGGAATTGAGGACAAGGACCTTGAAGTCGTCCATCCAGACGTGCGCCAGCCGCAAGGAATTGTGAGCCATGGTGTCCTGTCCTCCAGGTGAGCCGTACGGCCGCCTCTTCCTGAAGATGTGTCCCACCCTGGAGCACGGGACGATCAGCAGCTGGCCGCCGCACATCCAGATCTGAAACCACAGCGCCATCAGCGCCACCTTCAATGATACTCTGTGAAACTCAGCGCTCACCCTGAAGGAGATCTCCAGGTTCTCTCCTCCCCAGATGTCCATGCCGCCATCATACTGGCCCAGCTCAAAGAAGTACTTCCTGTCCATGGCGAACAATCCCCCCGCCATGGTGGGAGACCTGGGGGCACGGGGAGAGGTCAGGGGTCATGGACACCTGTAGGTCACCTGTGTTCCGGGTTACCTGAAGGGTCCGGCGGCGCCGTCGGGCCCGCTGAGATCAGCCGGCGGCACCGGGTCCCACTTGAAGTGCAGCCCCCAGTTGAAGCCGCCGCGGACGATGGGGGAGGCGAAGTACGCCAGCGTGTCGGCAGAGACGATGTCGATGACGGGGCAGACCACGGTACGGCGGTCCGCCTGCACCGGCGCCAGCAGCGGCTGCAGCCACGCCTCGTTCACCTCGCAGTGGCTGTCCAGAAACACCAGCACCTCACCTGGAGCAAAGGGGCGGGGCTTAGCGTGGGACGAACCCGTTGGTACCTAAAGGGGGAGGAGCTCAGCTTACCTGTGGCATGGGCGGCTCCGATCATGCGTCCCCGGATCAGGCCCTCCCTCTGCCGGTTCCGGACCAATCGGACCTTGCCCTGCAGCTCCGTCCTCACGTAGCGGTCCAGTTCGTCCTTCAGCTCCTCTGCAGCAGAACACAGGCAGACTTAGTGGGTCGGAACCGGGCCGGAGCTAGGCCGGAACCGGGCGGCGGGTACCCAGCTCGCTGTGGTCGTCCACCAAGATGACCTCATGCAGCAGGTGGGCGGGGCTTCGGTCCAGAACGCTGTGGACGGTTCTGAGCAAGGCGGACGGCGCCTCGTTGAAGAAGCAGATCACTACGCTGGCGGCAGGCAGCGCCGCTGGATACGCCTTCTGACGGCACCTGGGAACGGGTCAGAACCGGGTCAGAACCAGGACCGGTCAGAAACGGGTCACGTCAGAACCAGAACCTACCGCGAGTCGCGGGTGTCGGGCAGTGGGCGGTGGAAGCCCAGCCGGTTGGAGATCAGGACGTTGAAGGCGTGGCGCTGGTAGCCAGCGTCTCGGACCTCCTGGTCCGCCTCGTTAAAGATCATCCCTGCAGGACCAGAACCTCTCAGGACCCGGCCACATCCCCCACCCTCTGCCTGAACGTATCACGGACACCCACCCATCTCCGGGGACAGCTCGGCCCCCTTGTGGTCAGACCCGGCTCCGATCGGCCGACCGCGGTGCGGCGCGGGGTTCCTGCTAGGCTCCGCCCCCAGGAAGAAGTAGAGGTAGAGGAGGACGGACCAGGTTGCCGAGGTAACGAGGCAACCATAGCAGAAGTACCGCAGCGTGACACTGGGCATGGTGGGCGAGCAAGCATCGCCTCACATCACCTGCTGGGAGAGAGAGAGCTGACCGGACTAAAGTTAGCACACCCTGGTTAAGCTCAAGTTGAAGGCAGCACGGGACCTCATGTGAAGCAGTTAATGTTTACCGCAGAACCCTGAACGCATCACGAGCTCAGCTCGTTAAATAGTTAATGATCTGAGAGATCACATGACGTCAATATCAGTTTATTTATATGTTATATAATATATATTCATTTAGAAACAGCTGCTAAGTGCTGTGCTGTACTCTTAATCCGAACTGAATGTGAAATAAAAGAACGGTTCAGTTTGAATCAGATTGTAACAAAGGAATTGTTAGTGAATCAGTTTGAGGTAATAAAGGAACTGTTCATTACTTAGCTGAATCAGTCCTACGTTATAAATTAACTGCTCATCAGTTCAGGTGTGAATCTAATCAAGCCCAGGAGTTTAGGTCAGTCAGCTCACCTGTATCTCACCTGTAGGAAACAGTGACGTCACTTGGCTTCAGTGCAGCTGCTGTATATCAACAGTCTGAAAGCCGAACCAAACAGAACCTGCCGGTTCTGATCCGGCTCCAGGTGTTGAACGAAGTTCTACTGGAGAGTTCCTGGAGTTGTTGGGTTTAAACCGAGATGTTCTGGTTCGGTTCGTTCAACACTAACAGCAGAAACAACACAGCCAGCTAACGGAGCCGAACCTCGTGTTAAACCCAGATTATCCTGGATCAGAGCGGCCTAAGGGAAAGTTTGAAGCCTCTTCAGTTCCGATGATTAAAAGTTCTGATCAGGGCGGGAAAGAACTGTTCTGGGTTCGATTCTGACCCCCGTCCGATAATGGAACTCAGTGTGTTAGCGGCTGTTAGCTGTTCTCAGATAAAGCAGCCAAATACATTGGTCCAGTTCAGTCATCGGACGGTACCTGCTCTGGGTCCGCGGACCGTCTCCTGCTCACTCGGCGGCACTCCGGCAGAACCCCCGGCCTGCAGCACCGACAACCCGACCCCTGCTGCAGCTCCTGACACCGCGGCAGAACCACGTGACCCAATAGACGCCCCTTCAAAATAAAACGGAAAATACGACAGTAGATTTAAACAATAAGAGCCCCGAGCGACCCAAGGAAAATAACGATGTCTAATAGGGAGGGAAAATGATAAATGTGAAGGATGTGGAGAGGAAGAAAATGTAGAAGATGTATTGATGAATTGTAAAATATATGAGCCTGAAAGGGAGAAATTGAGAAGAATGGTTGGAAAGACAGGAAAGAAACGGAGTCTTGAAGAAATATTGGGAAATGAAGAAAACATAGTGAATATTTACAAATTAAGGAAAGCATTATTTATCTGCAAAATACAAAATTAAAAAATGGAATTTAATAGATGTAATGTTGCGTCACACTCGTGTACAGTAGGTGGCGGTATGCACCTTAAAGTTGGTTGCGATCCACCATTACAAGAAAAGATTTTTTTTTTTAACAAAACATTTATTTGTGCAATAATTTAACAAGACACTGTTAAATACATACTCAGGACATAAATAAATATTGCAATGACGCCAACACACCGCAGATGTAGTCCCGCCAACGGGGTTTATTAGTAATTACAACGAGCCGCTGTTTCTGAGGCCGAAGCTCACGCCTCCAACCACAGACATGAACACGTATACGCCTCATGGAGCGGGTCATAGGTCATGGAGCGGGTCGGCCCGTTACTGCGATACGTAACAGCGTCCGCCATATTGAATGTGGAATATGTGCCAGTAAGCTAATACAAGTAAATGGACCGAACTTCTGAAAGTGCCGTTCTACAAAATATTTTAAGTTAATTCCTGTCATTGGCATATTTTCTCACACACATTAATGTATTTGGCAATCAGAGAAATGACTAAAGACAGAGTTTCTAACTTTTGATGTGATTATTTCAGTGATTCTTGAGAATAGGGACAAAACAGGTCATATGGATAAAGCACCAAATTTGAATAAAATATACACACAGTATATATTTTTTCAAATATCTGACTAAACTAACCTGGGTCATGTGAGCACAACAATGTATGTTTTCCTGGTGTTTGCTGAATATTTTTTTATTTTAAACATTGTAGTCTGTGGATGATGCCTGTAAAATCCCTTGTCCAGGAGCAGAACTCAATACATTATAACAGTTTAAAACAAATAAAGAAATACTAAAATTATATATTATGACAATTAAGTATAAGTAGTCGTATAAATAATTATACAAGTATCGATAAATTGAATTAAAAATCATTTTTATATATTTTCCAACTCCATTGAAATTTGTCCCAAGTTTCTGTCAACACCGTCAGAAATGAAAAGAATGTAAAAAAAATCAGGCATTATTGGGGGGCACCAGAACTTCTGAGGACCCCATGACGTCGTCTTTTCTCTTCCTTTGCTAAGAGGCTAGTTAGCTCCGGTTAGCTTAAGTTATTCTTTAGTTTTTTCTTCTGTTTTATTCCTAAGTTACTTGTCACAACCATGATGTGTCAACTCCATANAAGGTTGAGAAATAATAACAAAAAAATATGGGAAAATTAATACCCATTTTGTCCCTATTTTCAAAAATCACTGGATACGCAGTGTTTCAGTATTACTTTGGTGTTTCAAAAACAAGTTATCGCAGAAGCTGTGAGAGACATCTGGAAATGTAATTGTATTTTCTATGGAGGCATACTGTATCATTCTTATCAAAATCTCCACTACAACTACATACGTCGACCTACTATACAGAAAATTGAGAAAGAAAAAAATATTTTCATGGCATTTGTAGAAAAGAAACTGGTATTAGCAGCCCAAGGATTCACAAAACTGATTATGTGAAACCAGCAGCAAAATTTCCAGACAGATTAAGTTCTATTACGTATTAAGTTCTATTGCCAGATTTATTAAAATCTGGCAAATTGAGACAGATTTTTTTCCTCGAGTACAATGACGACCTCTGGGGAGACTTAGGTATTGATGTAACTGGGATCTACACTCAGTAGTCTCTAGTGCAAGATAAGGCAATTATAACAGGGAAGACCCCTAAATCCATCTTGTGAGAGATTGCCAGAACATGACACATCACACCACCAGAACTCTTTAATCAACACAATGTTCCATTCTCAGCCAATGATGCTCTTGGTGGAACAATCGAGGCTCAGGGGAGGGAAGCTGTCACTAACATTGTCTCCTGAGGCATTGCTAACTTGCCTCATGTCACTCACAAGCAGCTTAAACTTCACTAATATGGAAGAGCAAGTCTGGATGGGGCCAAGTCAATTAAGACAGGCCAGTCTTTCTATAAGGGGCTGTTAAGGAGGCAGAGGATATAGGGATGAGCAGCCGATGCTCGTCTTTGATGTCCTGTGAGCTCCTACAAATCCCTCTGTTGCAGAAAGGGCAATTAGTCTGATGAAGCGGATGTGTCATCTGAGACAGACTTATTACACCCAGAGAAAACAGACTGTCTCAATCATTTTCTTTCAAGAAGGGAAATGTGCTAGTGTTACTGTAAAGTAGAGAAACACAGCATAAAGCAGAAAGCATCCCCAAACTCTCAAGCATGACTAAGATGATATACATATAAGAAGTGAATAGCATTTATACAATCCTGGTTTGGGTGAAACTTTCTGACTTTTTTTTTCCAGATTCTTGTATTTTTAGGATTAGTGGTCAGAACCACTTTATCTTATTTAGATTTAAGGGAGATAAATTATACTGTATGTCTTCACTAGGAAGTTGGATTTTTTATTTCTGCCAACAAAAAGGAATATTTAATTTAAATAGGTTCTAGTTCCTCCTGCTGTGGGGAAGGTGGCTCAGCAGCGCAGTATGACAGCCTTCCTGACAAATGATGAATTGCAAAAGAGAAATAATTTAACATAGTTTGTTATTTAAATAGTTTATTTGTCAAATCGTTTAAGTTATAAAGTTCGGTACACGTAAGATCAGAATAATGCTTCCCAATATTGTATTTAATGGCGCCAAAAGAAAGGGGATCAAAAGCTGGTGCTACACATCTACACAACTATACATCTTTTAATTACTTTTTTTTTTTATCAGTCTTGACTTTCCTCACATTCTGTTGGTGTGAGGAATATACAATCATATACAACTGTAATAAATACACTGATCTTTGTGGAAACAATAAGTTAAAATGTCAAAGGCAATATATAGTTTTCTTAACTACATATAAAGATAAAAAGTCAGAGTCATAAACAGCTGGTTTTGCATTTATAAAGATGACATTTAAAGCTTCATTTTGACTTTTAGACTCAATTTCACGAGTCATACATTTCACTTTAGGACAGAAACTTGAAATTTGATATGCACTTTAGCCCAAATAGCAGCCACTGTGTATCCGTGGTGATGATATGACATCTCCTCATGGTTTCTATAAATATAAATGGCAAGGCTGCACGATCCAATAGGAGCCCACTTATCCTGGTAGCCATGTGCGCAATTGGAGTGCACTGGCGGCGCCTGCAGTAATGACTTAATATAAGTCCTCCTGTGGTGGAACAGATGAGAGCACAGGTGTGCAGAGTTTTCCCTGTCATATGGTACCGGAGAGCCAACGCGCAGTATTATCTATTGGTTAACCTACCATCAGCTCATTAATATATACAAACTCACATATATGTGAACAGAGTTAGAAAGATATATGTCCGTACACAAGAGAAAGAAAAACACATCTGCTACTTTCCTCTACTTCCCCCCTTGCTCTCTCAATCTCTGTCTCACATGCTCACGCGCCGAAGTGTCTGCATGACCACATTGTTTTACAACACACGCAAGACAATGTACGTTTGTGTATCAGGGAGGCAAGGCAAATGGTGATGAGTAGCGATCCGAGCACGGTTTGGCTTGAAACCCTTCCAGAGCCATCTTTGCCGCCTCAAGCGATGCGGACGGACCCAGCTGCCATCGCAGCCGCACACGCGTGGCTCTGTCAACAGGTCGGGGTGAATCACTGCCACCGACTTTGTTCTTCCTCGCTAACTGTGGCAACATTTGCGTTCCGAGGCCGGGCCAAAATCATTCTCATCGCACATCTGCTGTGTTCCAGTTAGCTCAACCAGAAACCTGACTTAATAAAATTGTGTTTGGCTTCTGACATTGTATCAAATTGAAGCAAAAAAAAAAAAAAAGGAAAATACCCTTTCAAACAATTTCACAGTGGGTGCTTCATGACATCAAGACACATGTTTTTTTAATAGTATTCCACTGAAGAGTGGTACCTACATTGCTGTGCAAAAGTATTATCCCTCTTGTAGTTTGTTTGTTTGTTTTTATTGGCTTTATTCATTCAGATAATCAAAATAACTTTATCAGAGAAGAATAACCTGATGTAAATAGAAATAAGAAAGAAAAAATCTGCCTCCATATGATTAACCGCAACATGTAAATATTTGAACAGAACTTATTTAACCTCATAAAGTAGTTTAAAATATCTCAGCAGCAGCAGCACATCATGTTCTAATCTAATAAAGGTCATCAAAATTTGAGAAATTCTTCTGAGACTGTTGGGACATCAGTGAATCTCAACTCAACTCAGCTCATCAGGTCAAAACATAAACAAGAAAAAATATCTAAAGCACTGCAGGCTTTATTTGACTGAGTGAAGATCAGTTTTCAAGATACAACAAGACTGAGAGGGAGACTTGACAA